CGACAAAAGGAAAAATCTATAACCTCAACCAACCCGAGATGCAACACGCAACCCGCTGCGTGTTGACACGGAGCCCAACACGTAGGCTGGACACCCAAGTCTGCCGCGATACGTTCACCAAGACGTGGGCCAACACGTCGAGCCAACACGCAAAACGTATTCACGCGGACGTCTTGAACACGGCACGTGCTGCGTTTCAACACGGGCGTATCAGGGCAGCCGAGGGAAGGAGAGATAGGTGGTGGAGGAGCGGAGGGTGGAGCAGGAGGATGGAGCAGGGAGGAGGGACGCGGGGGAGGAGGAGAGCGGAGGGGTGCGGAGGAGACTGGCGGGAGGGGTTGCGGAGGAGGCCAGCGGCGGCAAGGACTGCGGAGGAGGAGGGCGAGAGTGGAGGCAGCGGCGGGCAGGGGGGAGGGAGGAGGAGAAGGAGGCGGAAGCGGACACGGACGCGGGGGGGGGAGAGGGAAAGAGGGGGACGGAGACGGAGACGGAAGCGGGGGGAGAGAGGGAATGAGGGGGGTGTCGAAGGAACGACGAGGAGGAGGAGGAGGAGGAGGAGGAGGAGGGCGACGACAGAGAGGGCCACGCCCTGGCGGGTCCACCACATGCCCTCGACCCACGAGCGGCGCGTACGCCCTCCCGGCGTGGCCGCGGAGGCGCGCACACCGGTCCTGCAGCCCGGGATCGGACAGGCCAAGGCCCGCGCAGGTGAAGAGCGGGTGCCCTCGGAGGCGGCGACATCCCGCGGCAAGAGCGAGGCCGAGAGGTGGCGCTCGCCCGTCACGCCGCCCGCCCGCCCCTCCGCGAGGCAGGGGGCAGCCCCGCCCACTGCGTCCCTCGACCATGTGGCCAAGGGCGTCTTGCGAGGCAGGGGGGGTACACATCGGCTTCTCCTCCTCCTCCTCCTCCTCCTCCTCCTCCTCCTCCCTCGTCCGTGCCCTGGGGCGCTGGTATGTTCTGCTCGTGCGCGTCTGACGCACGTGTTGGCTAAATTCATGGGCGTCCTGCTTTGTCGGGATTGTGGAAGCTTCGCGGTCAGCATTACACTGGAGCTGACCCAGCCCTGGCCCCCAGAGCCGTCTGTCACTGGCAGACGCGACAACCTGAAGCGGCTGGCGGAAGGTAAGCCCCCACAGTACAGCATGACTTCCCCCGCCCCATGAGCATTGCTGGCTTAAGTGCCCGAGCTCGCACTCGTCTTACCCTGTTTGCTAGAATAACTCGAATCCAACCTTAAGTCTTTTTCTTTATGCACAACTTGTCCCTGTCGCACCCCGAAGCTGGTTGTTAGGGCGGCCTTGGCGTTTCGCCTGAGATTTCCTCACCGCTAATAACTTTGAAGCTCAAGAATTCGCCGCAAATTCGCAGATGGAGGGCGGGCGGTGTTCAAAATGTGGCCCTCGCCTCAGCGCGGCGCACATTCGCCTTACAAAAAAGCAAGAGGTTCACGGATTGAGGGCGGGTGGTTTTCAAAAAGTGGCTCTCGCCTTAGCGCGGCACACATTCGTCTCAAAAGATGGCAACGGCTTCACGGATGAGGGCGGGTGGTTTTCAAAATGTGGCTCTCGCCTTAGCGCGGCGCACACTTGCTGTACAAAAGAACAAGAGCTTCACGGATTGAGGGCGGGTGGTTTTCAAAATGAGCTCTCGCATTAACGCGGCGCACATTCGCTTAAACAATTACACGAGCTTCACGGATTGAGGGCGGGTGGTTTTCAAAATGTGGCCCTCGCCTTATCGCGGTGCTCATTATTTTTGTGGTTTTCAAGTGGCTCTTGCCTTAGCGCGGCGCACCTTCGTTGTAAACATTGCAAGATCTTCACGGGTTGAGGACGAATGGTTTTCAAACTGCTGTTCTTGTCTGAGCGCGGCGCACATTCGTTTGACAAAAGTTTTGAAGAACTTCATGGATTGAGGGCGGGTGGTGTTCAAAATGTGGCTCTCGCCTTAGCGCCGCGCGCACTCGTTTACAATAGTTGCAAGACTTTCACGAGTTCCCATCATCAACGTACCAGAAATTGTGTTTTGAACGGAGTCAGGATTATACGGGTGCAACAGTTATATTGGTTCGCTGTGTTGAAGTCCCAAGAATGGCGTCCTGGTGCGATTCAGGATCGTCAATACGCAACAGTCAAGTTGTTCCGTGGCGATGGAATCCTGATAATAATGTTTTGGCATATTGTAGGGTCTTCAAACGTTGTATCCCAACGAGGCAATTCATTCCCTCAATGGAAATGAACCGTTGCAGGGCCAATGAAGAGGGAGCCTGGAGGGAGGGTTTATTCCAACATCGTTGATGGATCTGGGATTCACACTGGTCCCTCCTCCTCCTCCTCCTCCTCCTCTTCACCCTCCTCCTCTTCCCTCCTTCCTCCTTCCTCCGTACCTGCACCTGCACCTTGCGAGGCAGATCTGTACGGTCGGGATTCTTTGCTTAGCGTGTCGCGGCAGCGGCCCCAGCGACACGGTAGGCCGTGCAAGCAGACAGCGCGTCGCTCCGCTCCGCAGGACGGGAGGGTCGAAAGGCCCGGGACGTTGACGTTCGGGGTGGACGTGGTTAGCACGTCGTGCCGAACCCAGGCTTGCCCCACCTCAAGCCCCACTTGGTCGCGGGGCCACGGACATCTTGCGAGGCAGGGGGCGTACACAGTGTGTACTACACACCTCGGAGAGCCAAGACGCTGTCGGTGCGGCTCAGGGGAGGAGGAGACACCGGCACCGCCGCTCGTCCTGGAGAGCCCTCGTCGCCACGGCTGGGCTATCCTCGAATCTCTGGTCAGAGCGCACCCCAGGAGAGGTCGGGTGAGCAGCGGCATCGGTGTCCGTTCTGTTTCCCCAGTCGCACCGGACAGACGACCCAATCACCACTGCTGAAGAAAAAGCAGGCTGGGTCGGAGAGGGCGGACGAGCAACGCGCACGACCTGAAGCACGACGCGCGTGTCCCTCACTCTCTCTTGGACGCCCGAAATGGGTACGGACAAAAACGTGTACAATGCCCAAACAACAAATGTTGTCCAACACCGGCAGCGGCCGCTGTTGGGCAGGCGGCGTTCTGTCTTCAATGAACATCGCCCACGGCGGTGCGGACGGCGAGTCCAGTTCAAAATGAACAGGATCTGCTGCCAGACTTTGTGCACACTCTTTCCGTACCTCTTTCGATCGTCCCGAACTCAGTCCCTCCCGGATATCCACGCCCTGGGCGCCGACGTCCACGGGGCCGCTGGAGGCGGTGGATAGGGATGCTCACGGGCCCCAGGGGGGGCCCCAGGCATGCCCACATCCGCCACCTTTCGGGGCCCGGGCACACTCCCCAGGCGGCGGCTGCCTCATGTCATGAGCTTCGGCCTCGGACGCCTGGGATCTCCAGGCGTGGCCCGCAGCGACGAAAGATCGAGGACACAGGTTGACGCCTCGGGCCCTCTCGTGGCACCCTCGGAGGCCTCCAGGGACCTCCCAAGGCACACAGGCACGTCTGAGGACCTCGGAGCCCTGCCGGGAACCCACGACGTCAGCCTCCCGTCCTCGAGGTCGGGAGATCGTGCTACACCGGGTGCCATGCCCGACTCGCGCAAAGATCACGCCGACAATGTTCATCGCGGCCGGACCTCCGTGAGCACCCAGCGACCTGGCCTCCGATAGACAACTCCCTACGGTGCAGAGGACTCAGCAGAACCCGCCCAGAGCGTTCATGGAGGAGCTGGCCATGCCGCGCCAGGTTCGCAGCAGCCTTGAGCCAGCGTTGACGAGATGAGAACGCTCCCCTTCAAGTCCAACTTCAGACTGCATCAAGTGCTCACGAGCGGAGGAGCGTGATGAAGCAGAATACCGATAAGAATGACATTAAGTCGGGCCTGTCCCCCTACAGGGGGATTTGGGGCGAAAAAAATAAAAGATACTCAAAAAATACCCCCCAAAGTGCCAGAACATAATCAAACATACGTCCCCTGACTTCTGCTTTTTTGCTATATTTGACTATCCCTCCTGTAGAGGGACAGGCCCGACTCAAGAATAACAGTACGAGCAAGAAGGGCCAGGGAAGCCGCCAGTCAGCGTTGGACGCCCGGCACACGCAGGCTGGACGCGCAGCACCTCACGCGAACCTCACGCGACCGACGAGCACGTCGAGATGAGGCGAGACGGCTCGCACCTCCGCCTGCTCCTCCCCTCCTCCACGCCCTCCTCGTCCTCCTGCTCGCCCTCGGCCTCCTCCCTCGCCTCACTCTGCACCCCTCTTCCTCCTCTCCAGCCTGCGCTTGCTGCTCCTCGTCCCCCCTCGTCTCTGCCTTGCTCGTCGTCCGCCTCCCCCCTTCCCCCCTTTCCCCCCTCCCCCCCGATTCCGCGTCCTCCTCCCAAAGGCCCGCCCCCCTCGCCCCCTCTCCCGCCTTCCCCGCCTCCACCGCCCCAGACCCCCCCCCCCTCCACCGCCCCCCCCCCCCCCCCGGGGGACGCCGCAGCCGACCACCCCACCTCAGACTCCCGACGCCCAGGGGGCCACATGCGAACCCTGCCCCTACCCCCCACGACTTCTGAGGGGGAGGGTGTGGTTCACTTCGCTCGGGAGCTCCCGAACGAAGTGACGCCCCCCCCCCCCCCTCAGAAATCGTGGGGGATAGGGGTAGGGTTCGCATGTGCCCCCCTGGGCGTCGCAACGCCTCATGACGTCGACCCCTGCACTCTCGACCCCTTCCCCGAGACTGGCTGTTCTTCATCCCGAGTCGTCGCACGACGGCCCTGGGGCCCGGCGCGGGGCCCAGGACCGATGCCCGCGCCTCCCCGGCCGAGGGGGGAGGGGCCACGCGCGCCGATGCTGCAGCCTCAAGGCTTGCCATCGCTCGGACGTCCGTTCCCCCATGCGTCTGTCGGCTTCGTGCGTGCTCTGTCTGCCAGTTTCGGCGGCGCGCCCGGGGGGGGCCGAGAAAAAGCGGGCCTTCTCAGAAGGCTCGGACGTTCCCCGGCCTTCTGAGAATGTTCGTAGCCTTCCCCGAAGACACCGAGAAAA